AGAAGGCAGATTGATTGCTGCTCAAAGAGACAAGATTTAAGACTTAGCTCATTCCAGATCATAAATAGGCATATGGTACCTGAAGTAGAATTAAAAATATGTTCAAGTTACTGTGATATATCTTCCAGTTATTCAAGGCAATGGCAGGAGTGATGGAAGAATTTAATTAAACTATAAATAACTCTTTTAACCTCTTCTCAGCCACCTGTCTTGAACAACTTCTCTTGGACAAACCACTCTAGCAATTTAGAAACATCCAAATTAAAATGATTTGAAAGTTTCTTTGTTTCCTCCACATAGAGATGGTGGCAAAAGGCATAGTGAAAATATTACAAATAGAGTATTATCATCTTTTTTTATTGTTGGTTGTTCAAAACATTACATCTTTCTTGATATATCATGTTTCACAATTTGATTCAGAAGGGTTATGAACTTCCATTTTTACCCCDTATACAGATTGCTGAATCACATVGGTTACATCAGTTACATTTCCATTGATTTACACATTGCCATTCTAGTGTCTGATGAATTCTGCTCTCTAGGATAGAGAGTATTATCATCTTAAAAAACAACAGGAGGAGCAAAAGTAGAATGTAGAGATTAACTGGAATATCATTAGTTTCCCAACTAACAGTTCTGAGAGCCTCTAGTGACTGTTGACTTTGGTCAGGGAAAATAATAATAGAAAAAGTCCAGGACTTTACCAGAATATTCTGAATCTGACTTTCTGCTACTCTTTTTCTAAAAATCTTTGATTTGAAATCAAACATATTTGAGAATCCAATTGATGTATTAAAATAATCATGAATAAATGATRATGRATCTCTTCTATGTCTTTAAAGCAATAGAAATCACATCAATTAATGATGATCTGAAATGAGTTCATCAAAATGCATTCCTAAAGTTAGCAGCAAATTATATAAAAACCTTTAAGCTGAACCTTTCTAGGTTAGGAATAAGCCTCTGGCAAAGCATACAAAAGTTCAGCCTATGAAGTAAAGAAGTGCAATCTAGGGGAGTGGCTTCATGACCGCCTAACACTATGGAGGAAGTTTATTAAGCTATTGGGTAGGACTAGGGCTGCTGGTTTTTGCAGTAAACTTTTGGCTGTCTTATTTCTTAGCTTTCTTAAGTGGAGCGCACACTCCATAGTTGGAAATCATCTGTAAAAATTCTAATTGCTTCCAATTTTACTACAAGGCTGGTACATAAGCTTAACCCATTTCATATCAACAACTTGTTTTCCAGGTCTCTTAGAAATTGGGATACTTCTAAATGTTTTAGAAAGAATCCTCATTCATACCATGTGTACACCTGATTTTCATTTTGGCACCAATCAGTCCTGCCTCCCTGAATTACTTGTTCCTCATCTACACAACAGGTGTGAGGAAGCATAAGCAATCTGTTTGTGACTGAGAGTAACAAGTTATAAACATTTTTCCTATTTACCATTAAGATGTTTCTGTTTACTTTTTTAAAATAGTGCTTTTTTGAAGCCACTTTAATCTATCATATCAGATTTCTTATATTTCCTTGAATATTGTGAATATATTGACCTTCAGTTTTTAATTCAAGTAAGAAAAGATGTTTTATATCCAAACTTCTATTTCTCAAAAATAACCTAAATACCTTCCTTTAAACAAAAATTAGCTATTCTAATTAATGTGGAACACAACCTTCTGTTAGCAGCATTATTCATACATGTATGACTAATTAGCATATATAATTTATATCCATCTTTACAACAATAATAAGTTAGACATGAGAAAATTAGGCAAATATAAAATAAGATTATGAAAATAGTTGGGAACTAGAAGTAACTTTGAGCACAAATATCATACCTCTGAGACTTTATAACCAGACCACAGTTCTGACTATAAACCTTTGCAAGGTTATAAGAGAAGGGAAAACATAATCGGTTACAAGGCTAATTGTCCATAAGTTAAAGTAGGTATTATATGACTGTGGTTTTTCAGGAAATGAAGTAGCAGTAGGACCAAATATAGTACTCATGGTGGTAGAGACACACTTTCAACCTCTTCAAAGGGGAAATATCTGAAGACTTATCATGATGTGATTGGTTAGTCCACAGACTTCCTTTAAGAAACCATTCAGCTAGGCTGGGTGTGGTGGCACATTCCTGTAACTAAGGATTCTTTAAAAATCCTCTTTGAACCATGTAAGGGGGTGCATGCTTGTGATCACAGAAACTTGGGAGGCTAATGTAGGAAGATAGCAAGTTGCAGTTTATCGAGGCTCTGAGCAACTTAGGGAAATCTGTTTAAAAAATAAAATAAAATGGGCTGGCAATGTTGCTCAGTGGGTTAAGTGCCCCTGGGTTCAATCCATGGTACTAAAACAAAAGAAAACAAAGCAAAAAGAAATCTAAAACAAGAGTCCTGGTGTTCCTCTTTGTCTTTTACTTAGACTGGTTATTTTTCTGAAAGGCATAACTCCTAAACTGTCCAGCAGGATTCTCAGTAGTGATCTTATTTATGCTTTAGGGTCTCTTTCCACTGAAAACTTTTAAATGTTACACTCAAAGAGACAGAGAAGCAGAGTTGTACAAAATCATTTATTTATGGAAGTTGTTTTTTAATGTTTTAAGCATTGTTCATTTTGATCTTAGTTCTATTTATAATTAATGGTAGGGCTTTAGGTCAAGAAAATTTTATAATGCATTGAAAAGCTTGTGCTATGTTATTGTAGGGAGCCCTAGGACAAAACTAGCAGCAGAAGGAAGATTACATTGAATATTGACTGGGTACAGGCGAATAGAGAAGTGTCCAAAGACTTGCCCTTTTTGCTTGTTTGTTTTTTCAGGTAGATCAGAGTGATTTTGTGAACTTCTCTTTTCTTCTTTGGGTCTGATAATGATTTGAACTCAAAAGTTCTCTCTTTAATGCCCCCGAGAGAAAGAATCTGAAAATATTTTTTTTCCTCCATTTAAAAAAATAAAGCATTTCCCTATATGGACCCTGATTTGTTTCTGAAGTAGGTGATGAAATATTGTTCTCCAGTGTGATCTAAATAATGCATGCCTTCATACGTGTGATGGAGAAACACAATGAAAACAATGGCAATAACAAGCATTTAATGAGCATTTGCTGTGAGCCAGGCGCTATTCAGCATTTGTCTCATTTAATGTGTACTTAATGAAGTAAGTGCTCTGATTTCATTGACTTTACCAGTGAGGAAACTGAGGCACTGAGACATTAAGCAACTTGCCCCAGGTCATAAGGCTGGGGAGAAAACAGGTAAGTAAATCTGGTGTGACTTTAGAAGATGCATTAATTTAGCCACCATGTTAAGAGTCTGGCCTGTCTCACTTTCAGTAATAAGACAGAATTAACTAAAATAAATCTAAATTGTTGGATTTACTTATTCCTGATTATTTTCATTACATGCAGAGAGGGGGCATGAGTACACAGATCAAGTATAATGTGTAAAGTTTATGTAGAATTCAACCCTCACTACTCTAGAATTCTCTCTCATTAGTACTATTTATATGAAATGATTTTCAGGGTAGAACAATGTGCTCTTAAGCTAGGTCATGCATCACTGATACATGAATTAAGTTTTAATATTTTTATACTTAGATTTTATCTCATATTATTTTTATTATAGTTAAGACTAATATTAAACTTTTCTAAAAAAAAAAAAAACCAAAAACATCAAAACCACGCTTTCCCCAACATTATTTAGATTAAACTAGGTTGATTTTAAAAGAGAAAGAATGAATGTAACACCAACACTCTTAAAAGCCAACTATTATATCAGGCTCACAGATAAAGGAACAATTATGAAGTCAATGCATGAAGCCAGAAGATGGAAAAACACTGGAGGGACATTACTTCTTTCTTTGATCAAGAACTAATTCTATTTTTTTTTCCTTTTCTTTTGGTTACAAAGATTAAACCCAGGGGCACTTAACCACTGAGCCACATTCCAAGCCCTTTTTTATATTTTATTTGGAGATAGTATCTTGCTGAGGTGCTTAGGGCTTCACTAAGTAGCTGAGGCTGGCTTTGAACTCACTATCCTGCTGCCTCAGCCTCTGGAGCCACTGGGTTTACAGGCATGCCACACTATGCCAGCCAGGAGCTAATTCTTTCTTAAGCATTAGGCTATTCAACTGTAGACTGTGGGGAAGAAACTTGGAGGAATAATAAAAAGGAAGAGGATGAGGTCTAGAATAGATTGTGTTTCCTTTTTAGTTCTCTCCTAGTTATGTCTGGTGATGGAATTTTTAACCTACAGAGCTATGACTTTAAAAATGTATTTTCCCCCCATTTCCCTATGAATGCCATTTTCCTTACTTGCAGACAACAGTGTCTACCCAGTGTATGCTGTTTCCTTAGCCTGTTCCTTCTTTAGCATTTTATTTTCCAAGTCCTTTGTGGATGATAAACARTCCTAAAAACTCTTTCTTTTCCCTCAAGGTTTATAGTTTATTTTTTTCTGGCAGTCAATGTTGGCAGGGCTGGGAAACAGATAAACAGTCTTGCCTAAGTCAGATAAGATGTTTACAAATAAAAAGATACCATGAGCTGCAATTATATAATGCCCAAGGGTCACCATAATTTCCCTCTTCATAATAGCTGCCTACTCAAAATGAAAGTTTCCAAGCATGAAGTGTGCTCTAGAAAATGTACCCACTTAATCAAGTTTTCTCTCAGATTTCAAATAATGGTAAAATTGGAATTACCATGATTTACCAGTATTAAATATGGAATAACTTTTTATGTTTACTCTATTTATGTCCATCTTTTTCTGGACTTAAACTGTCATCTTAAATCTTACCAGTGATGATTGAAGAAAAGAGTTGGATTTCTTATATATATTTTTGTATTTCTGGTGTTACGTATTCATGACAACTTTGTTTTAATTGGTAACATTACATTTTTAAAATAACTACATTTTAATCTCATATTGTAAATGAAGTAAAAGAAATGAAACATGGCAGAAAATTAAGATAACATGATTTTCTCTTGTTTTAGATGGGAAGGTTGAAGTTACAAAAGAAGGCGTGAAGCTGTGTACCATGGGTCCTGGAAAAGTGTTTGGGGAGCTGGCTATCCTTTACAACTGCACCCGGACAGCAACCGTCAAGAGTAAGCTTGGTTTCATATTTTCCAGATTCTTCAATGTCTTCCTCCCCTAGACCTGTGAGATGATGATTTAAATGCCTCTTAGTTTTCCTTTATAATTCTGTTAATACATATTCTAATTATTGCCTTGCAATACAATCAATGTATTTGTTTTACTACTAAAGAGTGAGTGGTAATGACCACTCTTGCATAACTTAAGTTTTATTGCTGATTTTGTGATCATTTTAATTGGGAATTCTTATAATTAGTATTTTAAATATGTTATAATTCCATAAAAGAGAATTAACAAGGAGCAAGACCTTTAATTTTTATTTCAATTAAGGCCTTTAAAGCCGAAGGACCATATTAAAGAAATTTTACATGTCTCTGTTTTGGACGATATAACCCACATAAATCCCTCTTGTTGGCTCAGTGGTTTAGAAAAAGTAAGAGGAAAAAATGTCCTTCATTTCATTCAAACATCACTGAATAAGATATATCCTGAATTCTAAAACTGCATCTGAGTGTATTTCTGTCTTCAGCTGCTCATCAAGCTGCATATTATAGCATTTTTCTTTTCTACTGATTGAGCTTATTTTAAATCGGGCAATAAAGCAGCTTGTTTCCCTAATTTTACATGTATGTGTATATATGATTTCTCTAGCAACTTTTGTTGCTTGCAAGAAGCAGCTGCAATGGTTAGAGGAAAAAAAAATTATTAAAAAAAAAACTTTCCTTCTTCCCGAGTAACAACATAATGACTATATAACAAACAGAGCTGAATTCAAAAGCCAACAGTGCAAAGTCTATTGCATCCTTAGCATGCATGTGTGTTTCATGTTTGAAAAAACTGACACATTATCCTGTGATGATTTCAAGTATGTATTACTTTGACAGGGTCTTATTGTTAAAAGAAAAACAAACAAAAAACTGTTGGCAGAATGACAAATTATTAACATCAATTAGTTGATCTGGATGCCACTGGCTACTTTGTGCATTTTTTTCCTCTGAAAAATTCAGTGTATGATTGGAAATATGACATTGAAACAAATTCTTAAGAATTCAAGGCTGAATGACTGACGAGGGTTCCAAAAACAGTGTTAACATGTCTTGTTAGCAAATCTCCTTTTAATAATTGAAATCACTGTGACATCAGTTGCACTGGGGTTCTTGTAGAATGGACCCTTTTGGCATTTGATTCTTGATTTCAGAAAGGAAAGTACTCTTTTGATTGATAGGTACTGCCATGTTTCTATTGGATGTGAGCATTTAATTACATGACTCAAAGAATAAAATGAGGCCCAGGGAACTATATAACAGAATCCGCTAGAAGTCTAACTCACTTACGTAGTGCCTTAACTGGAAAAAAGAGTACTTGTACTTACAACTGCATTAAATTAAACAGGTTTTATTATTATGGTTCATTTTCTGAGAAATATATTTCTTTAAGGGAAAATAAAAGACCATAATGACATGTTTTGATTAAAATAGGCTTTCTCAGAATTGTTAATAACAACTTCTTTGTCTTAAAAAATTTAAAGTTTTAAAATATTTCAATCTGTATACTGCTCATTTAATCTAATTGAAACTACTAATTTTCTGAAAGTCAACATTTGGTAGAAATATAGGACTTAATATTGTGAAATACTGAATTCTTATTAAAGAAATATTTTAAATAGACTAGTCTATTTAAATTAATTTATTGTGGAACATTTTTCATAAGATGATCGCTTTGCTTCGTAAAGATAAATTTTAGTATTCAGGTTTTACAAAATGGTGTTCATCTCCACTAACCTGTATGTGCTCATGTTTAGAAAATTTAAACAGATACTATGCCTCTGATTTAATATGCAGCAGCTGAGTGTTGAATGCAAATTATAATCCTAACTATTTTGGGGTCAGAACATCCATCAAAGGAAATGAGTGATGGAGGATATTCTTTAATACAGACTCAGAGACGTTTAAGTAGTGTATCTGCATGTGTGGGTGTGTGGGTATTTTTCTTCACAGTCCCATTTAAGATATGGAGGTTGTATGGAGAAAAGAGCCTAAGGTTTATGAAGTGCAAATGTACCTCTATCCACCTATTTGGGCTTAAGTAAGAAATGGTGTCTTTGAAGACCTATTTCTTCTGAATGTTCCCTAGGAACTACAAGGTGTGATTAATGATTATTTGTTGTTCAGAACCATTTTGTCCTGTTTCCTCTACTAAGCAGAGAGATTGTGTATGTGACTGTATGCTGTAAATATTGTTTTATTTATGCTTAAATTAAAACTTGAAGATGAACACTCTAATTCAGATTAGATTCCATTGTGGATGCTGCCTTTATGTATTGACTACAGTGTGTAACTTCCCATGGTATCTCTTATTTTTTTTTTTTACATGTAATATTTAAAAGTGTTTAAAACTCATTGGCCTTATTGAGAAACTATTGTTTCTCAGTATCTAAAATTACAGTGACTTGTCCATTTATTTATGATTATCTTGCCAATGAAGGTCATTTGTGTATTTTTCAAAATGGATTTAGGCCCTTGGATCTCATTGTCTTAAGTCTGAGGAAAGTGTTTTTTCTACACAATAGCTTTTCCATCCTTGCCTGTTTCTCAGTTGCCAGGACTCCTGACCTCTTTTCCCCTCACATTACCCCTTTCTTTCTTGATTGAATGATGATTCTCTTTCTTTCTCAGTAGGTCAGAATGAAAATGGCAGAATTTTCATACATTTGTAATTTCACAATAGTAACTACAGCCTCAGTAGTATTCAAGGTTCCTCAGTGAACTTGCATGATTTCTTGTTCAGGAGAGCACTTATTGAAATTGTATCAGACCTCGATTAAATAAATTTCAGTGATTTCCCTAATGATAAATTTGATTCATAATACCTGTTTTTGTTTTAATTTAAAATACAGAAAATAACTTTCTTATTAAATCTCTAGATTGCCTTATGCTAAGACATAATGATAAGCTGTTCATCGTGATCCAGCTGAAAGAAGCACTGTGGTAATTTGAAGCAAGCTCTTTCATCATCTAGGAAAAAAATCAATTGGCTTTGTTCTGAAAATAAATAAACACATAGTTCTGGTTATTATGATCACACTAGGAAGAAGATCTGATACCAGGAAGAATAGTTTTTAAATATCCAAAACCATAGTGATATGGAAAGAAAAATCATGGTATGATACAGATCTCTATTCATAGTCTACTCTTGTCTTATAAAATAGCACCATTGATTTTTTTTTCCCTGAGGAATGAGGACCTAAACATATAAAATTAACACCGTGTTGGAAACAAACCTAACAATTGTCTTGAGGTTGTCAATGCCTTAAGTAGTTTCATGTTTCTTTATTAACTGATAAAAATGCAGCCACTCAGATTGTGTCTATCCAATCATAGAAACTTTAGACCACATGAAACAGAAAAAAATATCAGATATTAGTTGGTTGCTATGCCACCAAATAATATTAATGTCTTCCATGTTGAGTTTCGTACATTTTGTCCCAATATTTCAACCTTACATAGAGAAATAAATTTTACCACCTGTTTTCAAAACCCACCCCGGGGGCAGGATTTCTCACATGTTCCTTGAACACCCCTTGCTTCCAATTCCCACACCTGGAACCAGATCATTATCATGTTTTCCTAAAGTGTCATTCCTGGTTGCAATCTCACTTTTACTACCCTCACACCTAAAGCATTATCAATTTGCACTTATCCTGGGTCTCTTAACTTTGCTCCTAGGCTCAAGGTTCCTCAACATAACAAAAATGGAAAAGTTGCAGTTATTTTAACCCTCATAATAGAAAGGAAAAGCCATCTATTTTAAGACGAGAGAGGGATTCATTGACACACAGCCTGTGTGTGAGTTGGCAAGTTGTTTAGGTTATTGTTCTGTTTTACTTGGATTTTCTACAACCGGTTTTTATGACTATTCTGAGATTCTTATGTGGTTTAATATATTGCTCTTAACTCCACCTCTGGCTATACATGAATTGGGGTATTTTTGTTTGAAGTTAGAAAACTGAAGTCCTGTTCCTCTTACATTGGGTTTCCAATTCATGATGCCCTTAGTAATGTATTATTCAAATGGTCCCATTCAATTTCACTCCAATAAAAACATAAGACTAAACATTCAAATTGTAAGAAAAACTCTTGACGCCAGGTCAGGATGGCCATTATAGAAAATCATCTGCAAAAAATGCCTGTTTGGGGTGTGGTGGATATTTTATAATTGTCCAAGAAATGATTTTTCCTTTGATTATTTATCATAGATATTTAAAAATTAAAACACTTTAGTACTAACACAGCAGAATTGGATTAGCTTTTCATACCTGAGAAAAACAACTTAGAGGAGGAAAGATTTATTTCGACTCATGGTTTCAGGCTATGGTTGGCTGGTTCCACACTTTGAGCCTGAGGTGGTGAGGTAGAACATCATGTTAGAAGGATGTGTTGGAGGAAGGTTGCTCAGCTTGTGCAGGAAAGACAGCAAGGGCATGCCCCAGTGACCATTTGCTCCAATTAGGTACCACCTCCTATAGTTTACATTACCTTGTATATTCAGCCATGATGGATTGATTCTTTGATGAGGTTAGTGTCCTCATAAGCTAATTACTTCCCCAAGGCCCCAACCCTGATTGCTGCCGTGGGGCTTTCAACACATGAAACTTTGGGGAGCACTTCATATACAAATCATAGCATAACAGAAGCCTAAACAGAGTATAAAAAATCAGACATATTGCTGGATATATTAACATCTGGTAAGACTATTCTTCTGTCTTAGAATACATTTTTGGGGGGGAGGGGAGTTACCAGGGACTGAACTCAGGGACACTCAATCACAGAGCCACATCCCCAGTCCTATTTTGTATTTTATTTAGAGACCGGATCTCACTGAGTTGTTTGGTGCCTCACCTTTGCTGAGGCTGGCTTTGAACTCATGATCCTCCTGTCTCAGCTCCTCAAGTGGCTGGGATTATGGGAATGCAACACCATGCCTAGCCTTAGAATACTTTTGAGTTGTTATT